CGTCTACATTTCTGGACAAGTACACGCATGCCTACCTCAGAAGCCAGCATGCACAGTATGGAGTCAAGACCCAGGGCTCCCCGAGGCCAGGGGCTCCCCCTGCCACACACCAGGGGCCCAGCTATTAGAGCCAGTCAAGGGTGGGGAGGCACTGACAGAAGGGTCCGCAGGACACCTCAAGACACACGACCATTCCTCTGCCTTGACAACTTCATCTTCAATTATACAGATGCAAAAATCCAATAATCTGCCCCCCACCTGCAGCTCCTTACAGAGGGGCCTCACAAGTTAGCTAATCGCTGTGTAATTCAGTCTAGTGTTTAGCTGACTTTCCCTCCTAAATATGTAGAGATCCCAACTTAATCCCATACATACCCTACCTGTGTGTTTTCAGATGGGCTATACCAGCCAAATATCAAAGGACCACGTGAACTATTTAAAATACAGTGATGATCATGTCCTCCAGGACCGTAAGGTGAACACACACACGGACAGTTGTCAACACGGACAGAAGAGCAGCCAGCTTTCAGAGAGGACGCAGCTACAGCCGGGAAGAGAGTAATGCTGCCTGCGGACGGCTCGGCTCCTCACATGTGTTCTCAGCACCGAGGACAGCGTCTCCTGTCACCGGTATGCCTGCCCCTTGTGCGTGAGAAAGGGAAGCTCTTTGTATTTTTCTTCATCAGAAGTAATACTGCATCCCTTCTTTTTCTTTTTTTATGTAACTGCTGCCGATGAAGGGTTCCTTATACTCCTTGTCATAGACAGCAGACTTCTGTGTCTCTGAATGTGTGTACGTATAACATGGGATGTAATCTTCACATATATAATCCATCCCCCCTTAGATTTTTAATAAGTACATAAATCCATATACCTCTTTAAAGCTAGATTCAAGCTTGCTGAGACACAAAAAATATTGGTGGATACAAACCTAACAGGGCATTTTTTAAACTGCCCATCAGTACCAGCGAGCAGGGATGCTGGCTCTGCAGCTGTGGGGCTCCACTGTTGATGGTGAAGGTGGGGGGTCTGGAACCTAAACAAGGCGCTCCTCGGCAGCGGGAGTGGAATGAGGCCCTGGCGGGGACTCTGTCCTGCCCACCCTCACAGCATCTCCACAATCGACCCAATCACCCAGGACAGCCAAGTGGGAGTGACCCTGGGCTAATGAGAGGGTCGGCCACTGATACTGCATCTGTTTTCAGTCCCACCGCTGGTTAACTCTCCCTGTCCTCCTCGGGACACTTCCCACGGGGGCTCTGGCGGTCCCTGGGAGCGGCTTTCACATGAGGAGAATGCACACGGCCCAGTTACAGCCCTAACAGGGAATTGATGTCAGTGACAGCTGGCACAGATCCCCATTTTTGCTGGAGAAGCTCCGACAACGGGAAAGGGACCTGGTCTGACTAGAGGCCATGACTGGCGAGTGCAGAGCAGCACTGAGCCGGAGAGAGAGGGCACAGCACGGTGAGCTCCCGATGGGAGTCACTCTAACGTCCCCTCAGGTCCTTCCCTCCCAGTAACAGCGCCTTTCTTTTGGAAAAGACCACAGGCTGGGTGTCAAGAGTCGATTCCACTTTGGCTCTGCCAACAACAAGGCAGGCATAGGATCACACACTTGACGTGGACAAAGTGAAAGAACGTCCCACATGGTGCCGGCGGTCAGGTGTCCCCTCCAGTTTACAAGAGAGAGGAGTGGTATTCTGCTGTATGTTCATAAGAACTTGTTCGAGGTCATGCAGCTGGTAAGTGACAGAACCCAGAACGTACCCTCATCAGCAGACCATGAACTCCAGCTGGCTCTGCTGCCCACAATGCCTCAGTTTCCCCATCCACAGAACAAGGCAGGAGATAGCATGACCTCCAAGTTCCTCTCTCTTTCTGCCTGCCTGTTTAATTTCACTAGGAGGGGAGAGGAAAGCAGGGGAGGGTCAAGGGACAGACAGGCCAGTAGTAGGATAGCAGTCTGGGAGGAAGGCCACAGTCTGGTATTAAGAACTGTATTAATCTACTAATAACTGAAAATTCACTTTTTAAAATTGTGTTTTGCCAAAAGGAGGAACAGTGATCAGATGAAGAGCCAACATCATCCTCATTGGTGAAAAGTGAGAGCTTTTCCTCTAAGATCAGGAACAAGAAAAAGTTGTGCACTCTCGCCACTTTTATTCAACACAGCACTGGAAGTCCCAGCCAGGGTAATCAGGCAAGGAAAAGATATAAAAGACACTCAACTAAATGGAAGAGGTAAAACTGTCACTATTTTCAGATGATGTGATATTACATATAGAAAACCCTTAAGACTACCAAAAAATGGTTGGAAATAATAGATGAATTCAATAAAGTTGTAGGATACAACATCAATACACAATTATCTGTTGTATTTCTATACACTAAAAACAAAACAGCAGCAAGAGAAATTAAGAAAACAATTCCACTTATAACTGCACCAAAAAAAAAAAAAAAAACTTAGGTATAAATTTAACCAGGAAGGTGAAAAACCTGTACTCTGAGAACTGTAACACAGAGATGAAAGAAACTGAAGATGATGCAAAGGAATGGAAAGGCATCCTATGCTCATGGACTGGAAAACAAATATTGTTAAAATGTCCATATTATCCAAAGCAATCTACAGATTTAGTGCAACCTCTATAAAAATTCCAGAGGCATTTTTCACAGAAATAGAAAAAACAACCGTAAAATGTGTAAGGACCCATACAAGACCAAAATAGCCAAAGCAATCTTGAGAAAGAACAAAGCTGAAGGGCATATCGCTGTAACGATATTACAAAGCAATAGTAAAACTAAACAGTATGGTACTAGCATAAAAACAGACACAAAAATCAATGGAACAGAAAAGAACGCTCAAAAGTAAAACCATGCATGCATGTGTGGTCAATTACTTTGTCACACTGGTTTAGAAGTGCCATCATCAAAAAGACAAAAGTTAAGTGTTGGCGAGTATGCTGAGAAAGGGGAGCCTTCTTGTACTGCTGGTGGGGAACGCTAACTGGTGTAGCCACTGCCAAAAACGGTATGGAGGTTCCTCAAACAGTTAAAAAAGAGAGCTACCTATGGGGGAGAGGGGAAGGGGGGTGATGGGCATGGAGGAGGGCACTTGTGGGGATGAGCACTGGGTGTTGTATGGAAACCAACATGACAATAAACTATTAAAAAAAATAAATAAATAAAATAAAATAAAATAAAATAAAGAGAGCTACTATAGAACCCAGCAATCCAACTTCTGGGGATATATCCGAAGGCAGTTAAATCACTATCTTGAAGAGACATGTGCACCCCACGTTCACTGCAGCATTACTCACAATAGCCGAGATACGGAAACAACCGAAGGGTCTATCAACTGATGAACAGGTTAAAAGACAGACATGGGGTATATACACAATGCGATACTGTTTTGTTCAGCCATTAAAAAAAAAAAAAAGAAATGATACGAAATCTTGCCAACTGTGGTAACGTGGATGGGCCCTGAGGGCACTATGCCAAGTACAGTAAGTCAGAGAAAGACACATACCATAGGACTTCACTCATATGTATGATCTTGAATTTAAAAAAAGCTCCTAGTCACAGGCTGGTGGTCACCGGAGGCAGGGGTGACTGAAATAGGTGAAGGGGGTCAAAAGGTAGAGACTTCCAGTGAGAACATAAATAAGCCACGGGATGCACACAGTTAATACCACTGCGCCACTAGCCTGCGCCGCTGAGCTGAGAGAGGAAACCGTCAGAGTCCCCATCACTAAAACAACATTCTGTAACTATGTAACTATGTGTCCTGACAGATGCTAACCAGACTCACCGTTGGGATCCTTTCACAATAGACACAAATACTGAGTCATCATGTTGTGCATCTGGAACTTCTATAATGGCAATGACACCTCAATAAAAAAAGAATTAGCACTAACCTACTAATAAGCCAAAATCCATTATTTAAAATGGAGTCTTGCCAAAAGAAGAAAAAAAAAGTCCACTTTTAAAATGAACTTTCTTGAATCTGATGTAAAAGTGCTAATAAAAAAACAAAAACAAAACACAAAACCCAGCCCTGTTCATTTAATTGGACCACCATGGGAATTAGTTTACGAAGTAAATCCAGTACTAAATTCTGAGATTAGATTAAAAATTGTTTATAAATGAAATTTATTAGTTTTTTTTTTTCCACTAGAAAGACAGGTGAAAACTAATTCAATTAACTAGAAACTATGGATAAAACTCTTATCATTATCCAGTGACATTTACAAAGCAGTCTTAAGTTTCCACAAACAACTGGCCTGACCTTGGGGCTTCTTTTAAGAAATAACCATCAGACCTAAGAGGGTGTGACCACAAAGGAGAGTGGCTGGGGTTAGCTGCAAATGGGCTAGTTCGTGAAACTAAAGGAGTAAACACTCGTGAATGGCAGTGTCTGAATAACCTCCACTGACCAACACTGTTTACTAAACACTCCCTGAACAAGGTACTGGGAGAGGACACGACGCAGGTGGGACGTGGCCCAGCCTCAGAGAGCAGACACCAAGTCTGGGGGACAAGGTGTGTACGAGCCAAAGTCACTAACACCAGAAAAAGGCCTCCTGTTTTCCTGAAGTCAGCAAGGCTTATAAGGGATCAAACAGACCATTCTCTTCTTATTACGACAATACTGAGACGGGATTAAGAACCATCCGTTTCTCGGCACTGGAAAGAGGCAGGACTTGCGAGCACATGACCCAGCTGTGACAGAGGTCTGGACGGCCACTTCCAGGAAATGCAGGGAGCCATCTGTACAGAGATCTGCTTGAGCTTCGCTAACCTAGCAAGACTCGGGGCTCCGCTGTTGGGGATGAACTACACCCCTGCATCATGAAAACATCTTGGCTAAATATGCCTTTTTATCTTTTCTGTGAAACACCAACCAAAACTAAACAGAACAAAAGGGTAGCAAGAGCACTGACCCTTTGGTCAGGCAGGCTGTCTTCAGAGATGTGACAGTCAACCAGTCATTCCAGTACCTGTAGGTCCACGAGCTGCACAGTTGATTTTCCTTGGAGACACAGGGCCTGAGCAATAAAAGCATGCAGATCCTCCAGGCAAAGAGTGTCCACCTGAAAAGGACAGAGAAGGAGAACCAGCATCAGCTCTGGGAAAAACCTGACACTCTGCACACGGGCTCAGTGACTAAATGCCGGCACCTGCACAGGGCGACAGAGGCGAGCGGGAGCCCGCAGTCCAGGTGTGAAGCTCTCCACAATGCCCTGGACCAGGCCTGCTCGCTCTCCAGCAAGGCAGAAATCTCTGGGCTGCCTGGGAGGGGCATGAGCCACAAGCAAGAGGGACCCTTCGAGCAACACAGGTGATTGTTTTGGGGACCAATTCCCAGGGCTGGCAACTTAGGGGTTGGCAGCATGAGCTGGGGTGATCAAGGCTGGGGTAACCCTCCACCCCTGCCAGCCCCAGTAAAACCTGTGCACTCAGATCCCAGTTTAATGGAAACCACAACCCCCACATCTGAGCCCCTCCAGTCTTCCGTGGAATTGGAGCTAACCAAAGTGTGAGTGAAAATAAGGGGGGCAGGGATTTGGAGAAAGAAACGGACGGGGAAATTCTGGATCTCAGGTGAATGACGGGAATGAGGACGGCGGGCTACTCTCAGGGACCATCTCCTCTCAGTTACAGGGCGGTGACTTTTCCAGCTCAGCCACCAAGTTCTGCCAGCCAGAAGGAAGCACTGCAGTAGGCCTTGCTCGGCGTTCCCAACGCCATCGTAGGGATACAAGACCTTCTTTCTGGAAGGGACCGCGTTCTGTGGCAAGTAGACGCTTGAAGGGAAGAATATCGGGAAAACCACCACAGACCCATGGATAAGAATTTCGATTCTTTCTCAATGATAAAAATGGCTAACATGTTTACTCCCAATGAAAATGATCCCATCATAAACCAGAAAGACTGTTCACTGGGGACTCCTGCTCCCCCGACCAGCATCCCCTGGCCTCTCCTGGAGAAGCAAATACTTCTGGCATCCATCACCTCTGCCCCACACAAGGCAGCAACCACATCACTACCCTGCCCTGTTTCGTTTTTATTCTGAAGAAGTTGTTGCCTTTGTATAACTGACAGCTACAATTGTTTCAGGAAAAACCCCCAAATCTACGATGTGCAGTACTCATGACCAAGAAAAAAGACTCCAATCCACAGAAGCCAGAGCAAGCAAAGAACACATTATTTTTTTATTCCACAAACCCCCACCTCTCTCTGTTTAGACTGGGTTTGTTCACATGTAATTCTACTTCTTGCCATTAGCAACTTTTGAATAAAATGCCTACTTATGAGAAAAAAATAACTATCTCGTATGTCATGGTTTTCACACTTAGCCAATTTCATACTCGGCCACCATCTCTGTAGCTAACCAATCTCACACCACAGCAGAGGGTGCCAAATTCTTAGTAACGCCAAGTTTCTTAGAATTTCACATAACAGACATTATTATTATAAAGCATTTGCTGTACTATAAATTATAAAAAAAATACGTACACTTGCTCTGACATAACCTAACCCTTCCGGAGAGTTTTCCCAGATAAACTTTTCACGTGAAGTGTTGCTGCTAACTTGGAGGTTAGGAGACCACTCAGCTTCTCCACAGGCTCCATGCCACCCGCTGTCCATCAAAACATTTAACTTAAGCTTAACTGTATAAAAATATAACATTTTTATAAATTTATCCTTCTAGCCTTATGAAACCTAAGAGAATAATGAGTCCATGAATGCATTTTAGTACCTTTGTCTCAGAGATGTCACTGATGTGTTAATTCATTGTTTTTCAGTGTTAAGAAGTCTACATTTAAACATGCCAAGTCCAACCAACAGGTCTACCTCGTGCTGACTCCCACTAGAAGTATTTTTATTTAAAGGTGTTACAGAAAGAAGATGCTTATTTGCTTCAGGTTTATATAAATATGCGAGATGTAAACCTACAATCAACATGTTGTGTGGTCTAGACTTTTTTCTGCTGGAAATGGATTTTCATAACTCACAGTCACCCGCACAAGTGACAACACAGAGCTGTGATGATTGACCGTCACTGGGTCCAACAGCCCGTCTCTTGTGCTGAAAAAGTAATTCAAACTCTGTCCCACAAGTTACTGTCCACATGCACACAGGTATTAGGAAGAAAACACACGAATGTTTCTGGAAGAGAAACTGCAGCTCTTGGTTACCCACCATTCCCAGTCCCCACTATGGCCCCCTCGCAGCCAAAAATATGAGCTGATAATGCGTGCATATGTGATAAATAATATCAAAAGAAAAGCAGTTTTACACTTAACAATCCATCCTCCATTCATTTATATTTCTAAGTCTGGCACGAATAACAAAACGTTCTACTCAAAACAGCAATGTGGGGCACCTGGGTGTCTCAGTCGGTTGAGAGTCCGACTCTTGATTTTGGCTCAGGTCATGATCTCACAGTTTGTGAGATCAAGTCCCATGCTGGGCTCTGCACTGACAGTGTGGAGACTGCTTGGGATTCTCTCTCTTCCTCTCTGTCTGCTCCTCCTCACTCCCCCACTCTTTCTCTCAAACTATATAAATAAACATTAAAAAAAAATAAAGCTTAAAAAAAACCAGTAATGCAAAAACTAAAGTTTACACTGGTGCATGGGAAACCAGTAATGAAACAATGAAATCTCTAAGAGTTACTTAACCATACCACATTTTCACAAAATGCAAAATTCAGAACTAGCTGTAGACTGGCAGAGACAAAATAAAAATTTAGAAAAGAAACAGAAAAATCAGTATGTTCCCTTGAAATGTAATCCCACAATAAGAGTAAGTGTGTTAATGGCAATCAATAACTCATAAGGTGAATTCAGGTTTGAGAATCAGTCCTGTCACTTTCTACTTCAGCCAAGGGAAAAATCTGATGCTTATGAGAAAGAAAAAGACCCAAGATCCATCACATATGGAGACCAAAGTAGAAGGCAAGATGGCCTGAAGGGGTTGAGAGTATGGGAGGTCTAAACAGGCTAAAGAAAGAGAAGTGATTGCAATGGTCTTTTTTATTGTTCTGTGACAGAAGTGAGACAAAAATCATTTAAATATAATATAGCCAAGGAAGGAAAGTGGGAGAGGGAGTGACCTGGTCCTTCCTTCACTGAGGTGGGTCTAAACATTACCTGCACATGGGCAACTATTAAAAAGGCAAATACTGGGGCACCTGGGGGGATCTCAGTCTGTTGAATGTCTGACTTCGGTTCAGGTCATGATCTTGCAGTTTGTGGGCTGGAGCCCCGTGTCAGGCTCTGTGCTGATAGCTCAGAGCCTGGAGTCTATTTCAGATTATGTGTCTCCTTCTCTCTCTGACCCTCCCCTGCTCATGCTGTCTCTGTCTCTTTCTCTCAAAAATAATTAAACTTAAAGAAAATTGTTTTTAAAGGCAAATATGTTCATGGGCCTTTATAATTTTCACACATTAAGTGTAAAACTAAAGAAACAAACTGTCCAACTTGCTGAGGAACACCAATCAAGACCTAGCACTGCACCCTAACCAGAGGCCTCCAACCCCTGGTTTGGTCGGGCAAGGAGGACGCACACTGGTGACAACGGTCCTGGTGGACATTTGACTGGGCCCTTCTGCAAAGCACGCCTCCTGTTTCCCATGATGTAACATGGCCTAGTAACCCCAGGGAGTAACCATGCCTTGGCCTGGGCTGGAAGGCGAAGGGGAATGCTCAGCACACATCTGGAGAAGAAGGAGTGAGCGTGACTTGGACAGTGGAAGGGATCTGCCAGAAGCTGTGAGCCTTCTCGCCACAACACTGGACCCCAGGACAGGAGCCACCTCCCAGACAGTGATGGCAACAGGGCGGCACAGCATGGGTCAGAGTGCTTGGAAGGCATCAGCCAAGTGAAGGCAGGTTCCCTCCCCCGCAAGGCTTCCCAAGCCTCTAGGAAACCTGTTTGGACTGCAGCCCTCCAGGCCCACACGAACCTGCGTCTTAGAGACTCGGCGGGACGCTGGGAGGATGACACAGGAAAGAGCCCAAGGCCACCCCCCCCCCCCCCCCGCCACACCGCCACCCCCCCCCGACCGCCGCCGCACCGCCACCTCCACCCCGACCGCCGCCGCACCGCCACCTCCACCCCGACCGCCGCCGCACCGCCACCCCCCTCCCGGACTGCCGCCACACCGCCACCTCCACCCCTCCGGACCGCCACCCTCGCGAAAGGCAAGGGCAGGGGTGAGAAGCCACTGCGGCACCTGAACGAGGAGCTGAGGCTACCTGTACGAAGAGGTAGATCAAGAGGCAGCACAATGCCTTCCAGGGGTCCTCCACTGCCTGCAGCTCTTCTCTTGAGGAGGAAAGGTCGAAACAGCCGAGGAGCGCGTCCACACGGCGGACTTGTAACCCTGGGTCTTGGTTCAGCCACAGTAACTTCAAATTAGGTGTTCCTCCTAGGTAAAATTAAAAAGTCCATTTATCATCATTATTTGCACCACCAAGTTATAACATCTTCTTGTAAAAATACATAAAAGGATAAAAGACACTAATCTCTTCTCTTTCTGACATCCCTGGGCTTTGGGGGTGAAAGAACTAGAAAGTCAACATGGATGGACCTCCCTGGTTAAAAGAAACAAACCCTAAAAGGCCTGCACATATGTACTTCATTGAGAATATTCTTCTTTTCTTAAGGGCTATGTTCCGAGGGAAATGAAGGCTTTTTTCCTACCTGTGCTGCATCCTGCACTGTGAGGAGTGTTTTTCAGAGTATGTGTCAAAGAGCCTATCTCAGGGTGTGAGAAACAAAACAGCCACACGAAACGCTGGTGGAAAGGCCACCACTCACCCTGTTAGCTTGTTCTCTTATTCCCCTAAACCAGCAGTTTCCGAACTTCAGCGTAAAAAGAACCCGTTGCAGAGACAGATATAAATGTAAAAACCACATTTTCCTGGGTTCAACATGCAGAAAGCCCCGCTCTACATGCCCTGGAGTGCCCTGGAGTGTGCACTACACAACTGCAGGCTTGGGTGCAGGGCACCCAAAGCAGATCCCTGTAGCCAGTATGCAAAAATTCCTAACATACCATTTTTAGTGTTTCATTTCTATACTTTACATATACATTTAAATTATTAAACTAAAATTTAAAAAGAGACAATCATTACTCATTTACTTAAATCACAACAAATGACAGTGAGTCCTGAGGAAGGACGGTCGTCTGGCGGTGCCTGCGGACAGAGCTGGACTCCAGGCCGAGCCAGGTCCCTGGATGGGCCGCTGCCGGGCATTTCTGCAGGGCCATGCCTGGAAAGCCAGAACGGCTGGGGTCTAAAACCCGGTAACCAAATGGTATGAGAATTAAATGACTCAGAAAGGAAGCTCTCCTTGTCTGCTTACATTTCTCACGGTGTTATTTATGTATCTCACAGTATTATTTAATATGCTCAGTTGTGTATCTCCCACCATCAAAAGTGAAACAACCCAGCAAAAGTCACTTGCATTTCTGAAACGGCTGAAGTATTTCTTCCAATCAAAAAACATTTATCATTATTTTGGAGAGGAAAAAAACTCATTTTTCTCTTAAAAGAAAGACAATACTAAAGATAACTGGCAAAACCAAACCAAACCCCAACCCAACCCAACCCCATGCAGTCCACTGCACTAGATAATAAGACAGAGCAACTACCCCAGGACGGCCTACAAGGGTCAGTGTGACTCCTCAGAAACCTGCTTTTCCGGAAAACTATCCCGCTCGTCGTCCTATTTCTGGAGGCCCAAAAACTACGAAGGGTTCTCAGAGGTTTAAATGACTGACAAAAAAATCTAAAGAAAAATATTTCTCAATGTGAGAAAATTATATGAAATGCCAACTTCAATGTCCCTAAATAAAGTTTTATCGAAACAGCACTGCACTCCTCCATCCCTGTGCTGTCTGAGGCTCCCTGCGCAGACTGAATGCAGAACTGGGTAGCTGCAAGAGACCACACTGCCCCCCAAGTCTCAAATATTTACATCGGCCTCTTTACAGAAAATGTTTGCCAAGCCCTGGCCTAAGGTAAGGGATGGCTATCATTATCACAGTTATTTCAAATATACTAAAGAAGCTGAAAAACATTTTTCTTGCCTCCTAGAAGTCATACATTGTAAAAAACTTTGGAAAAAAGCACAAAAGGAAATAAAAATCATCTACAACCCTACCTACCACTCAGATATTGCCATATTTTAAAATACAGCTTCTGGTCCTGTTTTCAGTGCATGTAAAACAATTACACACCCAGCTAAGAGGGCACGTCCCCATTACAGTGCAAGGGGACGGACAGCAGGAAGATTTTACCTTGTGTTTCATTTGCTTACACGTAAGAGTTTGATACAGAAAGAGTAAGAGTCATAAGATGCACTTAGAGCCAAGTATAGTGGCAGTGACACACAGTGACATGCAGATGGCAGTTACTCCCAGCCTCAACATCATCTGGGGATTTGTTAAAACTGCCGATTCTTGGGCCCCCAGGCCTACTAGCTCTAATCCCAGCAGGCAGCGGGCAGCACTCTGCTGTAATGCCCTCCAGGTGATTCCAGTCCAGGCAAAGTCTGAATACCATGCAAAAGTCTTTCCCAAAACAGCTAAGAAATAATTTACACAGACAAAAATAACCTACCAAAACAACAACAAAAACCCCCCAAACAGCTAAAAAATCATTTACACAAACAAGAATAACTTACCAATAATAAATAAATTGGTTCTTGAGGTCTAATGATAAAATAGATTATAGAAAACCACCAGATTGAAAAATCATGTTGTTGGAAATTAGAGAATTTTAATTCTAAATTCAATTATTTAATCAAGAACTAGGTACTGAACACCCGTCTACATATTACTGCGGGAGATAAGACACCTCCACAGCCTTCTCCAGAACGTGAGGGTCTTTCATACAAGACCACAGATTCTGGGGCTGTCATCATTTTATGCCACAAGCAGTACTCGCTGGGCTGTAAGGGGACCCTCTGATGACCCTACATAACGGCCATAACTTCAAGGCTGGTCCTCTTCCTAAGTGCTGTCCACAGAGATTTACTCCTCAGTTGATAGATTTCATCATCTTAAGCCGTAAGGGCTGAATTTCTTTGAAGGATCATTTACATTAGTTCTCTTCTAATTGTAAACTCACTCTAGTCAAAGTGGTTTCTAACCATGATATGATAACTGAAGAGGGTTGGGCCTGCCTAACACCGAGACACTGTCAGTAATTTCAGTTTAAGGGACACCTGAGTGGCTCAGTTGGTTGAGTGTTTAACTCTTGACTTTGGGTCGGGTTGTGGGACTGAGCCCTGCATCAGGGTCTGTGCTGAGTGTGGGGCAGCCTTGGGATTCTCTCTCTCCCTTCCTCTGCCCCTCTCCCTGACTCATGTGCTCCCTCTCTAAAATAAATAAAATGAAAAGAAAAAATTTTTTTAAAGAAACCTAACTTGGGAGCACCTGCGTAGCTGAGTTGGTTAAGCATCCAACTCTTGGTTTCAGCTCAGGTCATGATCTCATGGTTTGTGGGACATGTTGGGCACTGTGCAGACAGCTTGAAGCCTGCTTGGGATTCTCTCTCTCTCTCTCTCTCTCTCTGCCCCTCCCCCACTCATCTATACACACACTCTCTCAAAATAAACATTTAAAAAATTATTTTAAAAGGGGCGCCTGGGTGGCTTAGTCGGTTAAGCGTCCGACTTTCACTTAGGACATGATCTCGCGGTTCGTGGGTTCGAGCCCCGCGTCGGGCTCCGTGCTGACTGCCAGCTCAGAGCCTGGAGCCTGTTTCAGAGTCTGTGACTCCCTCTCTCTCTGACCCTCCCCTGCTCACGCTGTCTCTCTCTCCTAGAAATAAATAAAACATTAAAAAATTAAAAAAAATTATTTTAAAAACCCCATGAAACCTATTTTGATCAGAACTGGAAGACAGATCAGCTCAGAGCTCCTCTCTGTCCACCACACATACATCCCCCCCACCACCTCTCGCTTCTAGAGACAGACAAGACTGTGCCAGGAAGATCAAGGGTGGTCCCTACACTTCCCCAAGAGCTCCATGGGCAGCTGGGATGTTTCAAAGAGCCACATACCTAAACAAGCATTCTCATCTTTAGGTCAACAACTAGCATTGCATCTAAAACACATGAGCCTCAAAAACCTAGTTACATAACTTGATAGAAGATTTTGTGTGAACAGATGGTCAGGAAGGCCTGGGAGCCCTCCGGGGGACCTGAGCCACAGAGGGTGGGGCAGAGGGTCAGGGAAGGAAGTCATTCTGTGAATGACAACTGTGAAGACCTTCTCGAGAGATACCTGGACGACCCACCCCTGGCAGAGGGCTGCTGGCTGTGCCTCATGAGTAACAGAGCAATGGTCCTGTTTCTGTTTCTACAGCAATGACACAAGGGAGTGAGTAAAACACTCCCGGGACTCTAAGCCATGGACATGCTCTATGCTTTTTATATGGAAATATGTATTTCAATAGCTGCGTTTTAGAGTTATCATATGGTTGTTTCCCTTGCACACTGCTGGGGTGATAAAACCATACACCTGTTGGGCTTGTGTCCACTGTCAGGATTGACTGATGAAGAGTTCTCCAAATGAAAAACATCTTAGGTCTCGTGCTACCTGTGAAAGCTTGTCTATGAGTTTGAGTTACATGAATATTTGTTTAACAGAGCATCCCCGGCCGAAAGAAAACAAATTAAAAACCCTAAGGACTCATCTGCGAACTGAATCTTCACTATGGCTCGATAAACTTCAAGAGTCTATTTATAAAGAGCAAAAAAACCCCACATTCATTCAGCTATAAACAGAGTAGAATGCATTAATATCTCAATATATTAAGCTCTAGTCTAAATGTACATGGATGAAGTGTCTAATTTCACGCTTGCAAAATGACACTGTTGTACCACATCTACCTAACACATTCACAATACGGTGAATGTGGCTATAAAAAGCAGTCAGTGTGAAATTCAACTGTTGGCTTATGACTCAAATGTGTATTTGTAACACATTTACTTGACAAACCTTCAAACTATTTTTAAAAATGAAAAGAAAACCCAATCGAGGTTTTAAACCTATTTCTCTCTTTTTTAAAAATGCTTATTTATTTATTTAGAGAGAGGGAAGAGCATGTGTGCACAGTGGGGGAGGAGCAGAGAGAGGGAGAAAGAGAGAATCCCAAGGAGCCCAGTACAGGGCTCAATCCCACAACTGTGAGATCATGACCCGAGTGGAAATCAAGACACTTAAATGACTGCACCACCAAGGCTCCCAAACCCATTTCTCTTGATCCATGACATCAGGCAGCGGTTCCAGAAGCGGCGGGCCCGTCATCATCTCCTTGCCAGGTGTGGGTCCATGCGCCTGGATGGCAGCTGGGGATTCCTCCTCACCACCCACAGAAGCTGCCAACGTTTGACAAGGCTTTCTTGATCTGCACACATCAGGCGTCAAGATGAAAAGTGCCAACAGCATATAGAAGAGGGGCTGGAATAAGAAAGCTTCACTACACTGCCCGGCAAATGAGGGCAGGAGTCAAACACAGCCCCTTCTTTTAGGGAAAGTACCATTTCACCAACTCATTTCATTTTATACAAGTCTCCTAAGAGTACCTGCAAGATTTTGGTGAGTAAAATGTCCTTATATAGCCAGAAGCACTAAGTCCACTTACTGATTCTTGAATAGCACATGACAAAAATTGCAGGTTGACAAATTGCCTGTTAGATGTCTGTAATCAGTTGTCCCAGGTTTCTAAAATATGGGTACGCTTATGAGGACTAAAGGATGACAATGAGCAGGGAAGACCGTCACTACTCCTCTGTCTAAAGAAGAATCTCCAGTTCTGGAGATAAAAATGCTCTTTCCAATGCCTGCCTGTTGTTCGCTCCAAGACTCACTCCACGAAGTGGGGAACACTGGTACATGAGGAAGAAGAGAATGGGCTGCCTGCCCACAGACTCTTCAAGAGCTGTTTCCAGGGAAAGGAAGCTATAGAGTCCAAGGTCCACCCTTCTCACATCACTGGAAACAGCAGGTCTCAAGACATGACACGAGATGAATGAGAGACGCTAACTCGCATGATCGTGTTAACACAGATCAGGCACGTGAGCACACCATGTGCACATACATCTGACTGTGTGCCACCTGCATACTTCTGCAAAGGAAGGGAAGTGAGCTCCCTGAAGAAAATATGGCAGTAATGACATTTACTTTTCCGCTCCCTGGCTGGTCAATTTTAATTCTTTCTTCTTTTTAGGTAACCTCTATAATTTTTTCTTTTTTTTTTTTAATATTTTTTATTTATTTCTAGGAGAGAGAGAGAGAGACAGCGTGAGCAGGGGAAGGTCAGAGAGAGAGGGAGACACAGACTCTGAAATTGGCTCCAGGCTCTGAGCTGGCAGTCAGCACAGAGCCCGACGCGGGGCTCGAACCCACGAACCGCGAGATCATGACCTAAGCGAAAGTCGGACGCTTAACCGACTAAGCCACCCAGGCGCCCCTCCTCTATAATTTTCTACTCTCCTGTTTCCATTTTGTTGAAAAATATCTTGTGATTTTTTTTTTTTTTTATTTCTACTATTTAGGAAAGCAAGCTAAACCAAATGTGCCAAAAGTGCTGTTAGAAGAAAGCCTTTCTTAAGAGAAGAACACCGTGGTCTATCAGGAGACTCACTGAACACTTAACATTTATGGAAACAACCTGTTTAAAACTCTCTCAGGAGAACAAGAAAAATCAGACGTGTGTCCTGAGGTGATGCTCCTTCACCAACAACACTGCTGGCCCCGCATGGGAACAAGGGCTGCGATCAGACCTCAGGGCCATGTCACACCCACGTGACAGGCACCTGCCCGTGTCAAGTCCTCCAATGCAGACGGAAGGAGAGCACCGGCCAAAGGGTTCCACGGTTTTTAACAACACGCAGCCTCAGCCAAAGAAAATGCCTGTGACAGAAACATGGGACGATGACTGGTCCTCCATTTTAGTTCAAAAACTGTTTGGCATGTTTCCTCAGGGATACAGAAAAATACCAAATATTTTTAAAATATTATAAAAATTTTAAAAGAAAAAAGGGGGTGGGGGCTGGGTGGCTCAGTCGGTTGAGTGTCCAGCTCGATTTCAGCTCAGGTCATGATCCCAGAGTCATAGGATGGAGCCCGGTGGCAGGCTCGGCACTCACGATGAAGCCTGTTTGAGAGTTAGTCTCTCTCTCTCTCTCTCAAACATAAACTTAAAATCTTGTCATTTTTGTATCATTATTAACATAAGCATAAACAAACAGTCACACATGTAAATTATCAGGAGCAAAAGCTCAGGGCCACACCCATGTCACTAACAATGGGAGATGGGTGGGCCTTTCGGACACGGCCCCCTGCACGAGTTCTTCTAGAGCAGAGCTTGGCACGCCGCCCTGCACGGCTCTCATCACAAGCAGAGCCTGTGTCCAGTGGTGCCAAGGAGACTTTTTGCATAAGCCCCAGAAGTAGTCTCTGATAATTTTATGACTTCCAGAGTTTATTAAAACATTTTAGGGAGTGGCCTTTAAAACTAACTTATAATATAATGATGAATAGCCAGATATTCTCTTTAATTCAAACCATGAAGAAAACTATAATAATTTCCTTTCATATTATTTTTGGAAAGATACAATAAGATGCAAATAATAAAACATTTCTGAAAAATTATTTTGGCTATCCTTTCAAAATATTTCTTGCTACAAAAACAAATGTCAATTCATCTTCATTTGTTCTTTTTTTTTTTTTCTTTTTTGATAAGTACCTTTTTAGGGGTGAGTATATCACTGACTGAGAGAATAAGGAAACATTCTCTATAGTATTTCCTCACCTTCTCCCCCAGTACAATTCCATTTATAAGAAAATACTTTGCAGTGCTCACATCCTTATTTGGTAAACTACAAGCCTGTGTGATGGAAATAATGGTGGCATGAGAGAATTTAATGCATACAAAAATGGAATATCAAAGTTTTAGAAAGTATTTGTTCTCTGACACAATGACAAGGGACACTAAAAATAAAGCCTCACCCCCTCCTCCTCTTGGACCTTACTCTGTGTAGAACGCCACCCCCAGTCCTAAATCTGTGCTCTTGTCTGGGCACCAAGAAATTGCGGGAAGAAAAGACTTCAGCTAATTTCTAGGTGGATTTTCTTTTTCCTTCCCTCCCATTAAGGATTTTAAGATAACACTCATGAAAGGAAAACTTACTTTTCCAGCTGAAAAAACTTCCCTTTCTCTTGCCTTTGCAGTTCATCAAAACACACTTCCAGTGTTAGGGAGGAGACAAGAGCGGATTTAAGCAGAATATCAAGAGCCCAGCCCTGTGAATTCAGCAGATGTTTACTGAGCGACAACCAGGGGTGGCGTCTGCGGATCTGGCAGCAATGGGCTCGGCCCCACAGCGCGGCTCCCCTTGGGGTGGCACGCTCCCGCTAGCGTGGGCCATGAGCAGGGCACAGGTGGGGTGAGGCAGTCAGGCGGCAGACTGGCCCAGACTGTTCCCAGCTATGTTTCAATGTTATAAGACAGGCACACTCTCTTGGGCCCAGGGTTAGGATGAAAATTAGTTTAAGCACAGTTCTAGAAAAACATGTTTCCACGATGGATCCGTTATTGGATTTACATCACCATACGGTGAACAGATGAGTGATTTATTGAAAGCAAAGCTGTCTGTACCTGGAATGTTCATCTGCAGAGGCCTGACGAGGTCCGGGTGCCGCAGTGGGTTCCCAGAGTACACAAACCACTCCTTGACAGCGGGGCAGGTGCTGGTGCCATCTGAGGAGAGACAGCTGGGTCAATAGATGCACATGAGTCTCAACATTCGTCACCAGGCTAACAGAGTGACAGACCCACAGCTCCACTGGGGACCAATTTCAGGTTGGTGAGTACAGTGAGTTCTCACATCCAAGGTCACTGAGAGGGACCTCAGGCATCCAACAGTTGATTCCCTAACCTCCAATCTCATTTCAACAAGGGCAATAACCTCTGGGGTGGGGGGGCCGGCAGGATAACGTGGGTACGTAAGCAATGATGGAGGGCAGACGTAACCACTTAGATGGTTCCTATAATGTCCTTCCTCTTGGGCCTCACACTGCTCCACACAGCAGTTAGTGAAAACTGGGAGTAGGACGGTCCTTTCGGGTCTTCAGTTCATTATTTCATGCAACTATCAAGACCGCTATTACATTAGACAATTCAAAAAGCAGGCAAGAATAAGAGAACAAAGGCATTTCTGAGACACCTGGGTGGCTCAGTCGATTTAGAATTCGACTCTTGATTTCAGCTCAGGTCAAGATCCCAGGGTTGTGGGATCCAGCCCCATGTGGGGCTCTGCGCCAACCATGGAGCCTGGTTAAGATTCTCTCTTTCCCTCCCTCTCCAACTCTCTCCCCTATTTGTGCGTGTGCTCACTTGCCTTCTTTCTCTCTCTCTAAACAAACAAATAAATAAATAAAATGTTAAAAAGTAAATAAAACAGGCAATTCTCTACGCTGGATTATTAATTGCTATTAAAAATTCAGTTTAGGGGCACCTGGGTGGCTCAGTCAGTTAAGCGACCAACCTCAGCTCAGGTCATAATCTCGTGGTTCATGAGTCTGCCTCAGATTCTGTGTCTTCCTCTCTCCCTGCCCCTCCCCTGCTTGCGCTCTGTCTCTGTCTCTCTCAACATAAATAAACATTAAAATTATTTTTAAAAAACTCAGTTTATAGGGTGCCTGGGTGGCTCAGTTGGTTAACATCCAATTTTGGCTCAGGTCACGATCTCAACTATCATGAGTTCAAACCGCACGCTGGGCTCAGTGCTGACAGCCCAGAATCTGGAGCCTGCTTCAGAGTCTGTGTCTCCCTCTCTCTCTGCTCCTCCCCTACTCACGGTCTCTTTCTCTCAAAAATAAATAAACGTTTAAAAAAAATTTAAAAAATTCGGTTTGTCTTCTGTTCTAATTACTCCGTGAACAAAGGTGGAAGGCGGCTTTCCTACTCCACATGCTCCCCTAGCCTGGGGTCCCCAGGTGCTGTCTCTCCAGCACCCAAACCTCCTGCCTCCCTGCCTGCCTCCCCTCTCCTAGGGCCCTCTTGACCACCCCCTGACCCTTCGAGGTCTGGTTTCCTTCCCCACATGGCTCGGCCCCGCTTAGACCATCTTCAGACTCCCCCCATCCAAGCCATTCTCCATGTAAATGCAGGCTTTTTGGTGTTTGCTTTTTCACAATGAGAGTTAGACCAGGCTGCTCACCCTAATGAAAACCGCACAGTAACAGCCCGAGGTGCCAACATCAGCACGCAGACCTGGGAGCGCGGCAAGCCCCGCCCCACCGCGCCCTCTGCCCTGCGGTGCTCGCCCAGGCGCAGCGCACAGCGGCCTACAGCACTCCTGGGTGTCTGGCTCCCCAGTCCCCGGGGCAGCGTGCCGCTCAGCTGGGCCCGAGGACCCCAGCTCCAGCCCGCGTCCTGCTCCTCAGCTGGAGCACCTCCCGTCCTCCATCTCACCGTGCCCTTTCTCACCTCCACATGTTCCCCCCACCCTCCCTCCACTGAGACCTGCATGCTTCCCCACCGCGGCTCTCTGGCGGGCACTGCACGTGCCCGCTCACTCCCCCCGCTGCCCACCCGACCGAGCTCCTGGAACCAGAAGTGAGTCGTCTTCAGGATCCCAGGGCAGATGCTTGTTAACTTTAACAAACACATTCAACTTAGCCTAAATCCCACAGATACAAAAAGAAAAAAAATCTGAATAGTATTCTTATGGCTGCTAAAAAAACAAAGACACCCAACCCGTTTTCTACATAATCCTCTTGGCCGAGGTATTCATCACACTCAGAAACAGTCAACTGAGTGAATGGTGGTCTAAGCCGCTATTTCCGGAAGAAGAGCATTCTCTCACACCCAAGACAAACCTCAGCGGACTTCACTGTGTTGCCGGATGAGGACACTCGAACACTGTCACACACCTAGTCTGCCAACTGTCTCCTTAGAAAGTACTGGAACATTTACAAAACCACATTTTATATCACCTTTCATCTAAAACTGCTCCAAATCTCTAAATAGAAGGGTTTGGGGTTGACTTCTCAGTTTTAATTCTAAGTAACATGAGAAGAAAGTAGTTTCATGATAGGCACTGATCCTTCACTAAACACCACCATGTAGATTTTCTTTTATTTCCTTTCCTATTAAGATCTAGAGAAGTCAGTTTTTGGACAAATATTCTAAGAGAAAGGCCACACGGTAGTCATTTACTCAGGTATAATCCAGGAAGAGCTGCCCAGTGAGACCAGCTCAACAGGATCTATAAACCCTGCCTCTGTGAAAGGCACACACTGGGCCGGAGAGCAGCAGACACACCAGCTTCCTTCCCTCTTTTCCAAAATTCAGATCAGCACAGACAGAAAATTCCTTCCTTTCTCCATAATTTAGGCCAGTGAGGGTTAAGTCCACATTAACCCTTAACCAAGTATCTCTTAATTAACCAGAGAACAAAAACCTTTTTGCTTTTAAGGTGACTGACTTAAATCCAGTGAGTTTCACTGACCACACAGTACAGTCACGGAACAAGAGTGAACCACGCTGCTGAAAATGCAGTACCTGTCAGCTACTGACTATGCAGAGGCTTGAATATGAAGACCTTCACTTATTATCACATAACAAATTAACTAGCCAGAGGATGAAAGTTAAAACAGCCCTGCTGATTTTAACTTTCACTCCCTAAATGAACTTTATCTGAAGTTGTGGGCCAGGATACAGGAAGTGACAGAGATATTAAAATGAGTACTTTTTCTGAGGTTCAGGGCAAGTAAAGGAGCATTAAATCACTAGGCGAGTTCTGCAGGTCCTCCGGCGCTCTGCTCCTCCCCTTGTGAGCTGCTGGGCAACAGGGACACCCAAGGTGCACCCTCACTTCCTTCCCCTATCACGAGAGGGTACGAACGAGGATGGTGCACAGTAGCTAGAAAATGTTGTCAACATTTACAAAAATTAAGTTTTGTAGTCTGGAAAAAGACTTTTCGAAATCTAAATACTCGGATGGCAGCATTTTCACTTTTAATTCAAATTATCCCTCCTACAGACATGGCTGAGCTCTGCATTCCTTCCAAAACCCAGAGCTAGATGTAAAGTCTTACCTGAGATCCTCTTAAAAGAAACAGATATTGCTGGAAAACCCTAGAGTTTACCCTTTATCTGGGGTACCACATAATTTCAGAAGTTTTTCTATAAAACTCCTTAAAGAAAATATAGGCAATAAACTCTTAGACACTGGTCTGAGTGATACTCTTTTGGATCTGTCTCCTGAGGCCAGGGCAACAAAAGCAAAAATAAACTATTAGGATTTCATCAAATTAAAAAACTTCTGCACAGAGAAGGAAACCATCAACAAAACCAAAAGGCAACCTATTGAATGGAAGAAGATATTTACAAATGACATATCCAATACGGGGTTGGTATCCAGAATATTTAAAGAACTCATACAACTCAACACCAAGGAATCAAACCATCTGATTAAGAAATGGACAGAGGACCTGAATAGACATTTCTCCAAAGACATCCAGATGGCCAACAGACACATGAAAAGATGCTCAACATCACTCAGCATCAGGGAAATGCAAATCAAGACCACAATGAGATACCACCTCACACCTGTCAGAATGGCTAGAGTCAAAAAGACAAAAACAACAAGTGTTGGTGAGGACATGGAGAAAAGGGAACCCCTCGTTCACTGTTGGTAGACATGCAAACTGTTGCCACCACGATGGAAAACAGTATGGAGGCTCCTCAAAAATTAAAAATAGAAATACCATGTGATACAGTAATTTCATTTCTGGGTAAATACCCTAACAAAATGAAAACACTAATTTGAAAAAATACGTGCACCCCTATGTTTGTGGCAGCGTTATTTACAATAGCGAAGATATGGAAGCAGCCCAGTGTCCATCAGTAGACGAATGGATAAAGACCTGATACACACACACACACACACACACACACACACACACACACACACAGCAATATCAGTCAGCCATAAAAAAGAAGGAAATGTTGCAACAACAAAGATGGACACAGAGGGACTTACGCTAAGTGAAATAAGCCAGATGGAGAAAGACAAGTACCATATAATTTCACTTGTATGTGGAATCTAAAAAAACCAAAACAGATGAACAAACAAAAACAGACTCATAAATACAGAGAAGAAAGTGCTGGTTGCCAGAGAAGAGGCGGGGGTGGGGAGGGTGGATGAAATAGTGGAAGGGGGTTAGGAAGTAGACTTCCAGTTATAAGATAAATGAGTCATGGTGATGAAAGTACAGTGTAGGTAAGGTAGTCAATAATACTGGAATAAGTCTGTATAGTGACAGATGGTAACCACACTTATCATGCTGAATGGTTTTTAATTTATACAGATGTCGAATCACTGTGTTGTATACCTAAAATGAATACTGTATGTCAACTACACTTCAATTAAAAACTTTAAAAATTATAAAAAGTAAAACCCTGTTTAAACAGGAAAAACAAAATTTCAGAGGTCTTAATCTGGCCTGCACTTTGAAACTACAGCAGACACATTTGCAAAAATTTGATGTGTCTGAATTGAAATGAAATAATCTTCTTAAATGCCTAAAAATCAAGAAAAAGAGAAAAGGAAATAGAGTTTGGTAATTCCCTAAAGAAAAGGCTGATTTTCTCGAACTTTGACTTGCCTGGCTGCACGTGCAAAGGAGTAAGGTAAGAACTTGAGAAAAGTTCTCTACTAGTGTAACTCCCTTCAAGCTTGTAACATTTTA